CCTGATGAGCAAAATAGCGTTTGCAGGGAAATGTTTCGACGCTATGATTGTCCTCTCCTACATCAAAATTAGGATCAACAATGGAACATCATCTCAGAACGAAAACCAATTAAAAGTTCACTTTTTTATTTATTTTTCTATAGTTTTTCAACATTAACGTTCATACTTACAAATAAAACACACACACACAACACAGGTACCTCTAATTATACACATACTCTTCAGAATACTGTCAATTTTCACAGTCATAGTTAGTTTGCATTCAGATTTCTTCGGTTCATTAATCGTCGTCACCGTTTTGTTAATTTTGACCGCCCTCTATTACTACGTATCTCTAAGGTGGAAACCTGCAGGCCTTAATGTGACGATTGGTTCGTATGTTAATTAGCAATATGTCTAAAAAATTTAGTCATTCATAATGAATATGTAATTATTTTCAGATAATTTTAACAAATTTCTACAAAAATTGTTTTTATGTGTTCCCGGGAGAAAATGTGATTAGAACAATTTTCAAGATTAACAAAATGTGATTTTTCTGTTGTTTTTTTTTCCATTTAATAAATTTTTTTCATTTATTTAATCACTTTCATTAACTTCACGTTCTCGTCGCATATAATATATGTATAATATTTGTATCAATAATTTGGTGATTGTTATATTAAAAAACGAATGTTATATAACAATTATTAGTGATACGATTATAAAGAAGCCTTCAAATGCATTCTTTGATCATTGTGGCGTCGTTTTTTCAAAATGTTTTTTTTTCAAAGTTTTTCGCTATTTTTCATTTGTCTTTCAATCTTCATTTAAATAGAAATGAAAAAGAGAGTTCAGCGTATTGAGGAACCAAATGATGAAGATGATGCAGAAACCGACGACGCACGCTAGTCTTTACTATCTAGTTATCCAGAACAAGAAATCTCTCTGTTGTGCTTGTGTGTGTGTGTATGTATGTGTGTGTGTTTGTGTAAATTTATGTATCTTAATGTTTATATATCAACATATGAGTGTATACAATAATTTTCAATGTAAATCATAATTGAATCAATATCATAAAATGTAAACTTTGAATTAAAAATTAATGCTACCAATAATAGGAAAATAAACGAACATAACTTAACAAAATCAATTAGGCTATTTAAAAACACTGCAAGAAATATCATATATGTTCAAGATATGAAACACACTCAATTTATACAGAAAAAAACGAAACTCTTGCGGTAAACTTGGAGATCAAAAACTGGTTTTCCCAGAAATATTTATTTATAGCCAATAGCTTAAAAAGACCTATATGCTCCACCCACGATGCTACTAATAGTTGAACCAAATAGAGCTTGCTTGTTTGTTGCCTAGCGAGTATATAGTGGACATGTTATGTTATGTTGTGTTGTCCAACGAAATGGTGAGGACGTTGTGCGCTATTAAGTGACATTCGGCGTTCTGTGAGATCGTAGATGACCTCTTAATCCAAAATCTGATGCGCATATTTTACCACAATAGGGGCATCGAGGACCAGTTAGTTTCAATTTTCTTGATGTTGTTGCATGACGGATAAGTCGACGACTGTAAGAGGCATTTGTCCATTCCAATATAAAATTTTTGAGATCAGCTTTACAAATCCTCTTCTATGTAGACCGATCTTTCGATATTTTTTCAGGTGCAGCCGAGTTGAGGTTACATTTCTGAAGTACGCTTTTCACTTGATCCACAAATCGCTTCTTCGGCCAACCGACTGAACGACAGCCATTTGATAGTATGTTATATAATAATCTATGAATCAACGAGGTAGACAAGACTCCGCCATACAAATAACATGACCTATCCAGCGCAGCTGTTGTTGTAACAATAGATATTCAGCCGGTGTAGTACATACAATCTTAAACACATCTGTGAAGAGTATTTTGTGCCACTATCTTATTTCAAGAATGCTGCAAAGACAATGAACATGGAAGTCCTCGAGGGCTTTGATGTGTCGACGATAAGGAGTCTATGATTCACAACCGTAAAGCAGTGCAGAAAAGCAAACAGCTTTGTACTCAGCAATCTTTGTCACAGAAGTAACATTGTTATTTAAAAAGACGCGACTTTTCAGTCTGTCAAATGCAGCCGACACCACCCTAATGCGATGCTCAATTCCACGATCCAGACAACAGTCAGTACTGAGCATACTACTAAGATACTACGAAACGGTAACGAAACGGGATGCCTGCGTCAGACGAAAAACCATCGCGATAGATGAGAACGGCGGCAGTAAGAAAAAGATTAAAAATCACAGCAGTCAGAACGCAGCCCTGTTTTACTCCAACCAAAACATCAAACGGTTTAGATTCCTTACCACCAACAATGACTAGCTCTCATACCTGTATGAAATTCACGTAGTACTGGCAGAAATTTTGCGGGCAGCCAAATCTTTCCATGATCATCAACAACAAGTTTCTGTTGACCATCCTGGTTTTCTTTACGGCATTTTTCCACCAAGAGGCGTACTGCAAAAATCATATCGATGGTTTTACGACCGCTTCGGAAGCTACATTGCGTTTTTGGAATAACAACATCAACAATGTGTTTTTGAAATCGTTTCAAAATGACATGCGCCAAAATCTTGCCAGCGGTGGAGAGCAAGGATATGCCACGACTGTAACTACACTATTGTCTGTTACCTTTCTTTTTGTAGATGGTTACGATGTTTGCATCATTCCATTGTTGTGTACTATGCTAGTGGTCCACACTCGGAGAATGAAATTACGCAGTCGCTGACATAACATAGACGGAAACCACCATATTTGTATATCTCTGCGTGAATGCTGTCTGGTCCTGTCGTTTGTTATTTTTCATTTCCTTGGCGGCTGGCATAATCTCGTCAAATACAAGAGAGCTATCAAACTCAGCAAGACCGGGAGTTTTGGAAGGGTTTCTAAAAATGTCGGGACCACCAGGTTGATGCAGAACAACAAATCACTAAAACGCTCGGCCCAGTGTGACACGAATCCCTCAAGGTCTCTGATTACTGCAGGACCATCTTTTGCTTTAATTGGATGAACAGGGTGCTGGGCAGTTTTATAGACAGACTTGAGAAACTTGTAAAATCTTTGCGTATTTTTTGTATTTGCTAATCTCTGTAGTTTTCTAGCTTTCTCTGTCCACCAATCGTTTTCCATGCAACGCAGCACTTGCCGAACCTTTGTACGTGATTCTTTACATGCAAGATTAAGACTGAGTGAGTCTGGATTGCTGACCCTTTTTTTTATGGGCTTTATTCTTTGTTTGCAAAAGGTCAAGAATGCCAGGTCGATTCTCACCAAACCAGTCCTGATGCTTTCTTGCGGAAAATCAAGAAATCTTCGTAGCTGTTGACAGTATGCAGGAATTGATTAATGACCATTCATCGGTCACTGAAGGTACACTAGTAGGTTGCTGAGATAAACTGGACAGCTCAGTTAGTATGTTTGGTGAATTCTTCCTAAAGTTTTTCCTGTACTATAAGATTTTGGCAAGCCCTAATGTTCAGTCTTTTTACTAGACCCTGTCTACAAGTTGGTGATATAAATTTAATTGCGAATTCGGATGCGACAAAACGATGATCAGTCCAACACTCAGCGCCTCTCATAACTCGTGTATGATTGACGTCGGCGACATCGCGTTGTCTGGTTACGATATAGTCAAAAAGATGCCAGTGCTGGACCGTGTGTGCATCAAAGTAGCTTTTCTTTGATTATGCTGCTAGAAAAAGGTGTTGGTAATGACCAATCCAAATCTCGCACAAAAATTCAGGAGTTTGATTCCATTACTATTTGCGCATTCCAGATTATGTCTTCCAATGATGCCAGCCCAGACGCTAAAGTTTGTTCCAATTCTTGCGTTAAAATCGCCAAAAACTACAATTTTGTCATCTTTATGTATTCTCTGAAGGGTGGTACAAAGACATTCGTGAAACAGATTTTTACCAATTCTTCGGCGTCAAGAGTTAGGGTATAATCACTTGGGATGGTCATGTGACGATTTTTTGCAAGCGGAATGCGCATGAACATAAGTCTTTTGCTAACCCAGACTGGAGTCTCAGTAATGTCTTTGAGTAAGTTTGTACGAACAGCAAAACCAACACCATGAATCCGCGGATCATTGCCTGATAAACCTTTCCAAAAGAATGTGTATCCTGCCCCCACTTCAAACAGAGATACTTCTTCTGGTAGACAGGTTTCAGACAGCGCAGCTCTGCCTAGGTCGAGGGCAATAAGAGCGGTAAGTCGTTTTGTAACAGTTCAGTCCAAAAGCGTTCGGACGTTCCAGGTCGCAAAACGAATAGGTCCATAAGTCAATTTTTGTTTTTGACCGGTAAGGAAGATGCCAAATGAGCACGGTTACCCAATTGGGAAAATGTTTGGAACGAGCAATTTTTAGGCCACTTTTTCTAGGCCCCTCCTCAATTGAGTTGACCATTCCAGAACCGCCTGCTTGCAGCACACAGACTAGAGGCTTCCAATTCCATCTTGAATCTACCTCTGTCACCAGTGCTATCTTTGCTGCATATCTTTAAAAGATCTGCTGTCACCGGTATTAGCGCTCAAAACAGACGCAGGAGAATTTTAACAAAGAAGGAAGTTATGAAAGCCCTCGGTCCACAAAACTTTGTTGCAGCCATCTGAATCCCGTGGCATGGACAGTCTCCAAGACGACCAGAAAAGACTGCAACTGCAGAGGCCTACCGGTTGATTTTATATGATGAACGCAGCCTGACGCGTGGTCTCATTGCAGGTTTGCGATTAGAGTTTTCCTTCTCCTAGACGATGTGCTATCACTAGCTTCGAGCTCTATTTACCCAGGTTATGTTATCGGAGTGTGCTTTTTCCGGGTTTTGAAATCAGAATTAACCTTTTCCTAGAGGTGCTGTCAACCCGAGTCATCTGGTTTATGCGCCAAAAACTCGCTTTCGCCCCTTCTGCTTTTAGCACTACCTATGAGGAGCGACGAGGACGCCAAGAGGGCATTTTTCAGAATTTATAGCTGCACAGCTGACCAATGCAATGCAGCCCCTGAGACCCATATTGCATTTTCCCCACATAGTGGACAAAACTGCCATGATACTCGCTAATAAGCGAGTTAAATGTTTTAAAATTTGTTTTTTTGTGTGTTCATTCATTTAATTAACAATGGAAAATTGTACAGAATAACTCAACGTGCACGGGCGTGAATATTAGACTGATTTTTCCGTCGATTAAACGAAGAATATCAAGAAAAATTAAACGCATCAAAAGGCCTCCAAGTAAAAAAAAATGGTTTTGTAAAGCATGCAGGAAATAATAGCTGAACAATATAATAAAACATTTTATGTATGACTGTATATTATTGGATATAAACTATATTGTAGATTAGTGTATATATTTGTATTTTGTCGTCGTAATTCCTTTCAATGTTAAATAAATACAATTCGCCTGAAACGTTTTGAAAGTTTAAAAACTCATCCGGCAATTCAAAGTTGTATTTAAAATTAATCGGATAAGTGACATTTATAACAATTTATGTATTTTCTTAAATGTGCTGTAAAAAAAATTTAGAAATTATAATTAAAACAAATAAGCAGTACAGATATAATATAATAAATATGTAATCTGTAAAAAAAGCAACCTGTAATTATAACACATAAAAAAACATTCAAAATCAATTAGATTCACTAGAAGCGAATATTTATAGAAAACATTCATTTATTTATGATTAAAAAATTCAATTTAATTAGATGATTTTTGGAGCATACCATGTACCTCCAC